GATTTTATTAAGTTAGCCTAGCCTTCTTTCTCATTTCATTTGTACTTATGGAGTTGTCATTTTAAATTTAAAAGTGAGTATTAAGGTTTAGTAGTACTGATTTTTTCAGCATGCTATTAAGTAGCATCCATTTTTCATCTAGTTTATAGCAGCAGTCTGTTGGGTCTTAAACAGCTGTGTAGAATGTTACCTGTTACTGAACTAGTCTAGTCCTTCTGCTTAACATCAAGCAGTTCATTAAAGGGGATTTTTATGGTATACTGGTTTTGAACCAGGGCAACAAAGATCCAGTTTTTACGCCTGTGATCTAAATTCTTTAACTTCCAAGGGATGAGAAAGAAAATTTGGGGTGATCAGAGAGGGACAATGATTTTAACCATAACTTCTAAGTCTGACAGTTTGTCTGTAAGAGGTCTTGAGTACTAAGTAAACACGCAGCCTCACATTCTGATGTGATGTCACCAGATAAAGCAAAATAGGAACCTTGAAGTATCAAGAGGCTATAATTTGTCTATTGTCACATAGAAAGTAGGAAATAAACCTCAAGAACCTTGTTTTGTTACGAAAAAAAGTGTCTATGGAAAAAAATTATAATATGATGAATGTCATTGATAATGAAGAGAGTGCTGGCAGTGGATGGCTACTGCATAAGAAACGCATATTATGTTTTGTCTGCAATTTTGATGAGCATACTGTTGCAAGTTATGTTTGCTCCTTGTTGATATTCAGTAGTTTTGTAAGTGGTTTTGTATTTCCTTGTCCTGTGGTCAGGAAGTGAAGTAGAGGGGGAAAGGAAATCTGAAGCTGTTGTCCACCATCAAGACCCTGCTTTGCAAAATTTAGGGACGCCGATTAACGCTCAGTTTCAAGAAACTATTCTGTTCTGCATATATTTATGAGTACAACTAAAGAATGAAGGATTTTTCTTGCTTATCAATTTCTGCAAAGTAATTTTAATTTGAAACATTATTTGCTGAAGGGGAGAAAGAAACAAAAAAACACGCAGTTTTTATACTCTCTTGACACTGTAGATTACTTACTTTATACAGCCCATGATCGAATCAGGTAAGGTGATATTTGAAAACTAAAAATGAAAGAAACAAGCTGTATCTTTGGAGGAAGATTCATCTGATTTTTCCCCATTTAATCAGTATTCTGTATGTTAATACCAGCATACCACATGTGGTGGGTTGACCTTGGCTAAGGGCCAAAGTCCCACCAGCTGCTCACTCACTCCCCCTCCTCAACAGAGCAGGGGAAGAAAATAGGATGAAAAAGCTCATGGGTCAAGGTAAATACATGCAAACTGCTTACCAGTTACCATCGCAGGTGAAACAGACGACTTGGGGAAAACCAGTTTAATTCATTGCCAGTTCAAATAGATTTGGGTAGTGGGAAACAAAAGACAAAAATGAAAACACCACCTCCCCTCCTCCTATTCCCAGGCTCAACTTCAGTCCTTCAGTCCTGACTCCCTTACCCCCCAACCCTGAGTGGTGCAGAGGGATGGGGAATGGGGGGCTGTGGTCAGTCCATAACAGCCTCTCTCTACCACGCCTTGCTCCTCACACTTTTCTCCTTCTCCAGCGTGGGTCCTCCCATGGGCTGCAGTCCTTCAGGACAAGCCTGCTCCTGCATGGGTCCTGCACAGGCCACAGTTCCTTCAGGGAATGTCCACCTGCTCCAGCATGGGGTCCTCCATGGGCTGCAGGGTGGATACCTGCTCTGGTGTGGGGTCCTCCAAGGGCTGTGGGGGTGTACCTGCTCCACCGGGGCCTCTCCAAGGGCTGCAGGGGAATCTCTGCTGGAGCATCTGGAGCGCACCTTCCGCTTCCTCTTGCTCTCACCTTGCTGCTCGTGGGCTGTTTTCTCACACTTTTACCATACTCCTCACTGCCAGGCAATGTTTCTCCCTTTCTTACTTTCTGACACACGCCTTCCCTGAGGCGCTACCATCTTGGCTGCTGGGCTCAGCTGTGCCCTGCAGTGGGTCCATTTGAACCAGCTGTGTCTGGCGCGGGACAGCCCCCACCTCACCACCCCTACAGCCCCCCCCACTGCCAGCACCTTGACACCTAAACACCTACACCCAATAATGCTATTGTATTGCTTATGTAGCATATGTTGCTGCTAAATATGCTATTTTACACCATAGGAGAGAATGTAGGATGGGTAACTGTTTGCAAGGACACATCTTCCTCAGAAGAAGGTGTTCTATAGCTCAGCCTTCACTGTACTGCAAATGCCCAGCAGACTTAAATGCATTGGCAAAAAAAAACCCAAAATAAAACCCAAACCTTTAGGTCTACTTCTCACAGCACGTAGTCATTTTTTTTACCATGTTCATCTCTACAATTGTTTATTTAAAACACAAAGAAGGTCTTGAGCTGAGAGAAGCGTCATATAATTATTGGAAATACACATTAAATCAACTTCGATATCATCTGATACATAGTATTCTTAGTTTCATTAACTACTTGATCCAGACAACTGTATATGTCCCTGAAGTTTAATGCCTCTTTTAAATAGCTGTGTTTGTCTTTGTAATATCTTGTCTGCTAGTGATTTCTGCTGTTCGTCTTTTGAATAATCACTTTTCTCTAGACTTCCCAGATTTCAGAACAGCAATTAGAAAGCCTGGTAGGAAGGCAGAACCTTCAGGGTATATATGATTTTCCATTCATATTGATAAAAAAGATTTGAACAAGCTTTATTACCACAAATGTTTTTTTCAATGTGTAAGAAAGGTTGCACCTGCTCCAAAATTGCAAATGGGTTCCTCTGCACCCAAATGCCAGGAAGTTTACCACTGAGATAAACAAGACTTCAGTAGCAGGCTGCTCTGCAGTCTTGCGTGATGTCTTCTGTACTACAGATTACCAGACTGTGGTATGCATACCGCTAATGTCACGTGAGCAGTCTAAGTGATATACAAATACTGCTTGAACAGGCAGGTGTTGCTGCTTATGTACATGCATAGTCTGATACAGAGCTGGAAATGTTGATGCTTTTGCTGTCGCAAATGATGGCATCTTAGGGGAAACAAAGTTAGGAAACCCTTATAGATAGAGATTTGTAGGCACATGAGAAAGAAAAGAAAAAAAAAAAAGGGCAAAAAACCCAGACTTCTCAGCAACTTGTGCATACTGGCTATATATACTTTCCATTTTTCTTCCCTTCCCCATCACCAGGCATCTAAAAGAAAGAGGCTTTGGGTCACGTAAGGAGATAATTCTTCCCCTCATATTTGTGACCTTGAAGATTTGGCTTTGAGGTTTATCAGTTAGGCTGAAAGATACATCATAAGCCTATAAATTGTATATAACCAACAAGAAGAATTAGTAATCTTTCCCCATGTCCATCTCTGTCGTTCTCTGTCCAGAGTAAATATCTTTCCTTTTCCTCCAGTGATATGAGGGATCAGCTGGGCTTGCAGCATCTTGCTGTTTTACTCTTTTTTAGCCTGGGAAGGAACTGTCCCTTTGCTATCACATCAGCCTAGACTGCATGGACTTTTTAAGATGCTGACCTAGCTTAGTGGTGAGGTAATATTCCTTTGTCACAGGCAGATTGCTAACATTTATTTGGCAGAGGGATTGCCTCATAAACTGGGAATGAAAAGGTTTAACATAAAGCCAGGTGAAGAAGCTTGACAATGGTGGTGTTTCTCCTTAAGAGTAGTATGGTGAAGAAGCTACCGTCTTTCTGTCAATTTTTTTAATCCTTGTAGATGCAAAAAGGAGTGAGTGGGGACTAGTTAACAGAGCATGGTTAGATCATATTCCTGCATTAGGTGGTATAAACGAAGGATGGTCTTTACTGAGTAAGCTACTGCCAGTCTCCTAGGTGTTTGTTACCAGTGCTGTAACTTAGCTAACTCACATTCGAATGGTGTGCAGGATATGTTGGTCTAGCAAGAGTCTTTTTACAAGACAGGACTGAATTAAATGCGTGCCATGCGAACACCTCGGATTTTCTAGGCTGCATTGTAAACTCTCCTAGCCAGCACAAAGGTGCTGCAAGCTTTGAAAGGAGCCTCTGAAGTCCACTGTAGTATCAGTGAGCAAGAATAATTTATGAAGGTGGTACAAGTGGTAAGAGTTTGCTACAGTTGTGGGTTTTTTTCTTCTGTTGGTACTTGGTGGAACCAGGGTAGTCCAAAGACTACAGTATTTGTAAGTGTCAAATCCTTGCAAATCCTTTGCAGTGGAAACAAACCTCTTTACAATGGGAAACATTTACAGGGAGAGGTAAAATGTTTGTTGCTTTTATTTGGCTTAATGTGTTACACAGAAATTGAATGAAGTCATTCTAGTCAGTTTACCCACTCAAAAGAAAATTAGTTGGTACTAAATATGTTTTGTTTCTGTGGGTGTACATTCATTACTAATCCAAAGTCAGTACTGTTCCAGAACCATTACTGTGTGGCACTCATTGAAAGCACTCTGTGAAACAAATTAGCATTATCTTTTTATCTGCGGTAAGATATTGCCTACTTCAAATAAATGAACAACACATTTGCTAGCATTTTGCATTCTTGTTGGCAGTTTCAGTAGACTGGCTAAGGTTTGGGCAGAGCATCAGACCCCAAACTATGCTCTTGCCAATTAGAGGCAGCTTTTTCAAGTAAGCAGTGTAGACTAGAACTCTACAATATCTTTGTACATGCTCTCTGGATAAATAATTCCTGTTTCAAAGGTTGCCCAAATTGATATTTTTACTTTTATATGGCATGTTTCACTGAAGAATCTTAGTGCTCTTATCTAAGTCTAAGGATAGAATATTCCTCAATTTATAAAAGTATAAGTCAAGCAAAAGGGACTGATTTGTCTCACCGAATATATTTAAAAAATACTAACTTAAGGAAGAAAGAATTGTGTTAAAAGTTTAACCCATGAACAAAACTTATTAAAACTGTTTTAGTTTAATGCAGTGATATTCTTCATTTCCATGTTTGACACACATCACTTTGACTCAATTTTGTTTTTATTTCCATTTAGGACGTGTAGGAACACCTCATTTTATGGCCCCAGAAGTGGTAAAAAGGGAACCTTATGGGAAGCCTGTAGATGTTTGGGGTTGTGGCGTGATCCTTTTTATCCTGCTAAGCGGTTGTTTGCCTTTTTATGGAACCAAGGAAAGATTATTTGAAGGCATTATTAAAGGAAAATACAAGGTAAATGACAGTATACCTGAGTCCTTTTCCAGTGAGATGAGCTCTGCTGGTAAAAATTCTGGAAGTTGATTTCTGTATTTAGCCTGATTTAAATTTGAAGCTTATAGAAATCTGTCTGTGTTACACAGGAAGAGAGATGATTTTTTCTCTCCAGTCTATCTTGTTCCTGCTGTGTTTTGTATCAATGTTAGGAATTAGAATATGGAAATATTTGCTCAGATGAAATAATAAATGGGTGCAACAACTAGCCCCTAATTGTACATTGAGCTCCATAGGATTACATAAGGTTTAGCTGTGAAGTATAACATACTGTATGTTATCTTAGGTTTATAGATCATTTAAATTTTTAAATCAACTAAAAGAACTTTCATAAAGGCTGGTCATCATATTGCCTTGATTTAAAACAAAATGCATGTTACTGTAAAAGTGGAGTTACGCATTTTTCTTTTTAGTACAGTATGTAGTAAAGTGCAGCTGATGATTCAAAAGGAGCCACTTGCAACTGAAAGCAAATCGGTGTGCATGCAAGATAAGCATGTTTCACAACATAAGCATCCTAGGGCCATTATGGAGGCAAATTTAAAGCTTCGACTTCACTATTTTTGCGGTTTTGTCGAAGATAGGTTTTGCTCGACTTTGCAACCAAGGTCATACATGAGCTGTCTTATTAGCGAATTAAGAGTGGAAACTCCTAAAACTGTCTGATAGTCAGTAATATGGTTTAGGAAGTATTTTATTATATGAACTTAACAGTAGTCTGCTAAAATGTGACAGCAGTGGTACTGCACTTGGTCAGGAGCACATTTTTCATTCTTTAAATTTGTATTCCTAGAAACAGCAGGATCTCTTCATGGCACTAGTTTTGGGATTTCATAGACTGGTAGACATTTCAGTTTCATTTTATGGAAGATTTCTTTGTGGAATCTCTTAAGCAGCTAAAACCTTCTGGAAGAATACAAGTTAACTTTTCTTTGTTTAAAAAAAAAGTCATGGCCAGCACATTGTGTCTTCTCAGTTCCTTTTCTGTTCCTGTTTCCACAATAATATGTCTATTCAGTGAAAACAGTGTAAGGATTTCAAAACAGTCTTGCTGCAAATTTGCAGTTACCTTCATTTCATTAGAGCTGAAAAAGAAATGACAAATCACAACTATAAATGTGCATTTCATAGCCAGATAATGTTCCTGAGTGCTCCAATTTAAAGCGATCATTTTTCGTAAAGACTGGTCTTAAATAAAATGGACCTCTTTAAATTAACAGATTATAACATTGAAAAGAGTCTTGTTATAATTTTGAATTTTCATTTAGTACTTTGTAAAATCAGCAGTGTACCATCTAAATACAACTTAAGTTCTTCATAAATTAAAGAAATACTAGAAATAGCTTAAGGATAGAATCCTTTATCACAGAAAGAATTTTCTTACTTTAGTATGGTTTTATCGGGTGTCCATCATCTTGACTAGTTGGACACAAACCTGCATATGCAGAAGACGAAAATATATTCTAAATCATCCTTCACATTGTTGTCTCCTAAAGATACAGTTCTGCTCTAAAAAGTGTCGCAATTGCTTGTATTGTTGATCAGATGTCAGTATGCTTTCCTACCTGAGTGGCTGAAGAAGCTTAACTGTTGTAAAGTTGAAAGGAATTTATTGGGAAGAGCCATTGTCCATGCTACGTGTGGGACAGGACCAGAGTAGTTCACAACAGGCATTAGCTGACTCCCTTCTTACTCAGCATCACTGACATGAAATTGTGGGTTGATACAGATAGACTGTCATGCCATTCCTTATATTGATTTCAGGAGTAGATTTAATTTCTACATTTATCATATGCATAGATAACTGTCAGACAAAGACTAAATTTTTTCTTCTTCTAGTGAAGGGTCACTTTTATCTGAACAAAATGTAGCATAGGTAAAGAATTATACTGTGATTATAACATAATACCAAGGATATGTCAGCTTTTATGTGATACAGTGCTCACTGTTTTCCATCTTTTATGCCATTTCAGTAGCAACTAATGTACAATTTTGTAAGTTATTAAAAAACTTAGAAACTTCCTTTAACATTTATTATGATAAAATGTTTACAAGTACCAACCACTGTTAAATCTCTGCAATTACTTTACGTAAAGAGTAGGTTCTTTTCTCTATTCTTATTACTAATGTAATTTCTTTTTTCTTGCTTGTAATCAGATGAATCCCAGGCAATGGAGCCATATTTCTGAAAGTGCCAAAGATCTGGTACGCCGCATGCTTATGCTGGATCCAGCAGAAAGGATAACAGTATATGAAGCACTGAATCATCCCTGGTTAAAGGTAGTAAAAGCAGCTGTTTACATACCAGTTTCCTCTTCACGGGAGAAAAAGATTTATTTCTTTGTTTCTTTTTGAACTTTTCAAAGTAGACGTGACATTGTACAAAATGTGTGATAATATGTTTTAAATGCTTTGTAAGATTAGAGCCTTACGTTTCGATAATTGCCAGGCTTGAACTCTTGAAGAGCAAACTCACTCACTCACTTCGGCAGCATCAGAGTATAGGGAGTAGGGCTGTGTAGAATAAAGCTTGAAGAAGGTATTCGTGTGTCTTTCTGTGGCTCTCAAACTCCAGAAGAGTAATTTCTGATCTCTTTTTTGCTCAGTCATATCTAGACCTCTTTCCTATTATGCATGTAGCCATGCAGTTTATTGCAGTACGTTATGCTACTTAACTGTGCTGCTTTCTTACATTAGATTCCTGAAATACCCCACCAGAGTGAAGGAAGCATGTAGTGGTATGTTGCTCAAAGGTCACTGTAACTACAGAATATTATATGGCATATGGTAATCAAATTATTTTTCAGTGGTGGCAGAATTTACAACACAGTTTGAGCCAGTGGGAGAGTAGTTGCTGGACACTGAAGCTTGACAACAGGAGCAGGAGAACATACACCTAGCTTCTCAGTAGTCCCATTAATAGACTGTGCTAAACATTGGAGTTGGAGAATGATGGGTGTGTTGCAGATTTAAAAGGTGGCAAGCACTGGTTCAGAGCATTGTATTTTCTTTAGCAGAAACTGATGAATTAACTATTTTTCTTTGTTATCCTCTATTTCTTTTCTATTTTTGCCTACAATAAACTGCCTTCCCTGCTGACTCAGAATTTTCTTCTAAACAATTATAGACAGCAGCTGAATACAGCACGAGACAGAGACATCTTTAGTGCTGTAGAGAGACTGAGTTACTTCTGCCAGTGATTTCACTCTGATTCAGGAGATGCATGTGATAAACATTTACATTAATGAATAAGTGTATGTAGCTTCTGGGATGATGTGGGGCTGGGGACGAAAGTAGTCAGCTGCTGCAAGTTCTGTCCCCACTGTTCATTGGCAAATTTTTCGTCTGCATATACAATGGAGAATTCTTCCTGTAAGCTAGCACCTGGTGTCACCAGCCATCGAGCTGGCACTTCCTGCTCTGTTGGACAGGTACCCCATCTCCCAAGCTTACCTGAAGTATCAAGCAGCCCTTAAAAGAGTGCTTGAACATGTTGCTTCACTGGGATTTGTGAATCCCAAGCAGCAGAACTACTTTGTGCTTGCCAGCTTCAAAGTTCAATGCTGGCCACAGACTGACTAACAACACAATAGTAAAACAAAAGGCTAGAGTCTTACTACAAAGTGGAAAACAAAATTACAAAAAGAAAATATCCCTGGCCCAAGTTAAGAATTGTTTCAAAATATTTTAATCCCTCTCAGTTTCTTGAAGTTTTCCTTAAGTTGCAACAAATCCTCATTCTCCTTAGGATACTTACTAGCTGGTACATTTCTTGTCTAGTTTCTTAATGTGGAGAGAATATTAAGAACTTGTATGTAATGTTTCTTTTGTTTTGTTTTTTGTGGTTTTTTTTTAAGGAGAGAGATCGTTATGCATACAAGATCCATCTTCCAGAAACAGTAGAACAATTGAGAAAATTCAATGCAAGACGAAAACTAAAGGTAAAATGAATGTAGTGTTAAAACAATATAATTACGTAACTTGAATTTTGTGTGATACTTTATTCACTTTAAAAGTACTAAGAGAAATCTATGCTCTGAAGTTGGCAATAAAATAAAATGTTGAAACAAGCCTTCACAGTTATTAATTGCAATGATCTCTTGTTAAGGGTGTTCGTCCTTTCTTTCTTAGCGCATAGTTTTCAAACTAAACTTCAGCGCAAATTGTCTGGTATCAACTGAGGTGTGTATGAGGTCTTCATCTTAAATTAATTCAGTAATTCTGTGTAGTATGAATCACTGGAGAGAATAGCACAATGGCTTCTGTTATTATTGTGTTATGTTTATAATAAAAGGAACATAATAATGTTTTAATGTCTTTTTTCAAGAAGAGCAAAAATGTATTCTTCAGTTTATCCCCTTTATGTTTAACTATACACAAGAATATTTCTCAGCCGTATTGAAAAGAATGTTAACATTTTAGCCCAAAACAACATCGTTTCCCTTCAGTTCCTATCTTGGAAAGTTTAACAGAAGCATTTTTAAATTCAATGAAAGATTGAGAAAATTTTAACAGAAACATGCACCATTACAATTCATGAGGTTTTTTTATAATTTGTAATAAAACACCGAATCAGATATACACACTGAGTTGCTGCTTTGCAAAAGTTTAATGTAGCTGCAAAAACAACTGATGATTAGGATGCAATAGTTGTCGTAGTTCAGCATAAACAGCACGTTCTCTTAGGTGGTGAAAGATTGAGAAAATTTTAACAGAAACATGCACCATTACAATTCATGAGGTTTTTTTATAATTTGTAATAAAACACCGAATCAGATATACACACTGAGTTGCTGCTTTGCAAAAGTTTAATGTAGCTGCAAAAACAACTGATGATTAGGATGCAATAGTTGTCGTAGTTCAGCATAAACAGCACGTTCTCTTAGGTGGTTTGTATGTCCAGGTAATGCTTTCATTAAAATGTTAGCTAGTACATTTTAAAATATGACCTGTTTTCCTGCTCTAGACGCAGTTTCAGGTCTTTCCCAGATTTCTTCCTGGGAAGGCCACTATATTTAGTCTTCTGAGAGCTTTTGTACCTGTGCTATTTGTTTTCTACCGTTTTATCCAAAGCACTGCTCTGCAGAATGTTTCCTGAAATTATTTGTTGTCCATTTTGCCTACTGCCACAACTGTAAGACATTAAAACCTGAGTGGTTAAACTGTAATTTACTTGAACAAGTAAATATATGTCAGAGCAGATGACTGTTTTTCTGGCTTTGTAACTTCCCATGTAACACTCATTCTGGGAGTCTGAGATTATTACATTTTCATATACCTATATTATGGATGTCAAATATCCTAGTGCTGTCAGTGTCAGATTCTGACAATTTCTCAAATAACAACATATTCTGTTGCTTTAAAGAGTGAATTTTTATACTTGCTAAGCCACCCAGTCTAGGTAAGAGGGAAAGAGAAATAAATTAGTTATTTTGTTTACATTGTACTATGGGAATTTATGCCTCACACTTATTATTTTTAAATGCTTTCCCGTAAAGAATTGTTCTCATGAATCCCCTCACTGTTTATTACTTACTGTTTATTAGAGTAGAGTATGACCAGCTCTTCTGTTAGATATGGTCACTGGTAACAGTGAAGCAGAGCTGAAGACTATAAAATTTATTTACTCTTCAGTGAGAAGGTCAACAGAAGACAGACCTCAGGAGACTGAGTGATCCAAGGTGTCTGGAAATGTTTCATTATCCTTCTTTGTGTAATTTAGACTTTGTGGGTATTTTTATTCAGGGGGCAGTACTAGCAGCTGTGTCAAGCCACAAATTCAACTCCTTCTATGGTGACCCCCCTGAAGAGCTGCCAGACTTCTCTGAAGACCCCACCTCCTCAGGTATTTTAACAGAAAGTATATTTACTGCAGTCAACTTGTCTTAATGCTATACTCACTAGAGTACCAAGTATTTACTAATTTCTCATGATTTCATAAAGTTACATATTAAGTTAACGTTTAAATGTGAAAGCATAAATAATTTTCAGTCATAATGGTGTTAGTGACTGGAGAAAATGAAGAGAAAATCTCTGCACAGTTGTAAGTTTCTACAGAAATTCTGTCTGATTTTTCTATTTGTTGTATGTACATTCAGTCACAAATAATGCTATAACCTCGTATTTCTCTTTATATTACTTGAGTGTAAAAGCTTATAGGAATTTTGTCTTGAATTCTTAGGCAGGAGCAAGGTTCTCATACCTTACTAATAGTTATTTACAAAAAGAAAACATTGTGTACCAGAGTTTCTTGACCTCCTGTTTTAGAGAACAGTATGATTAAGATGTCTCCTCTTTAAAGCACACTGGACAGTATTTCTGATACTATAACCCAGACTCCCAAATCTTCAGAGAGAGACAATACATGTACTTCAAGGACCTCCCAACATACTTCAAAGGGGAAGATAATACCTTTGCTGTGCTGTGAGCATGTAGCTAGGCCTTGGGCAGGACAGTGATCTTACTCCAAGCAGTCGTTTTGTCCTCGACCCATATTCAGGAATTTAAATAACCTGGCAGTCCCTATACTAACACAGCCCTGTCGTAGTTATGTATCTTAATTTTGATATAACATTACTCACAACACTTGCAGTGCAAAAGTCTGGGTTGTTCTATGTGACCTAAAATTAGGATTTAGGATCAAGTTAAATGAACTTCTAAGAAAAATCTAAGGCCAATAGGACTCTCTCTTTTATTTTTCTAAACAACTAAATAGTACTGGCAGAATATTTTAGCTATACACTGACTTTACTAGAAGACATTTCAGGAACTTAATTACATGCGCTGAACTGCTGTGTGATAATTCTCTTTCCCAATATTTTTATAGGTGAGAAAATTACTTATTGACCGCATATGTTGTGTTCCTTTTCTGCTCTTTCATATGAGCAAGTAATTTTTATAAATTATTTCAATGTCATTAATAGAGGAATTGGGGGCATTTTTTTGTTGTTGAAATTCTTAAATTTCACTTCTTGGAATTCAAGTTTGAGTATTTAAATTAAAAGATTGCTTTGTCCTTAGAGATGCACACCGGTCATAACTTCCATAGAAGTGAATGGGAATCTCAGATCATTTATTGCAAATGGGTAATCACAGCCTCATGGCTTACCTTAAGGCAGCCAGCTTTTGAATACTTGATGTACTTGTAAGTAAGGATCTTTATATTCTTCTAAAGAAAGAATAAGTTGGTTTTACTTCACCCAGAATTACTTGCAGTGCTTTAATTTTTGTTTCCAGCTACTTCCCCCATTTCCATAAAACGAATAGGCCACCAACAAGATCAGCAGTGGCAACTTTCCTAATCTAAAAACTGCAGTTCCTCTATCCAGTTTCAGTCTCACATCAACAGGGCATGTGTCTTCCTCACAGGATGATGTAATTGCAGATATCAGTATACAGCAAAGGTACAAGTTCTATTTTTTCTGCTCACAGAATACATGAATCCAGTACACATGTAAATTCTGCAGAGTATCTGTGCTGGATCCACTGTTATCTTGTGTTCATCTCTGAAATAACTGAAACAATAGCTTGGATTTCTTAGGAAAGCATAGTTATAAAATAACATTGTTGATCTCACTGATGGGAGGTCGCAGCGATCAGGAAACCATACTAAGTGGGTAGTTCTCGTGATGTTTCCCTGACCGACTACATTAGCTGACAAAATATTTAATATCTCAGGATAAACACTGAGACTTGCAAGAAAAGATACTGCAACTCTCAGCTTCTGAAATTGCTAGATATGGAAATCTATTTTGTTTCCTCTTCAGAAGTACACTAATAAAGTTTTCAAATATTTGTAGCTTGTAAAGATAGGCTCTCGTGATGATTCTAAACTGAACTAGTTCGTAGAAATTAGACAAAAAACTCTTGAATTGCAGTAGAAACTTGACTGTCTTAAGGTTATTTAAGTTTCCTTCCTAACATCTCATAATGTTATGATCATAAACTCTAATGAAGAGTGTTTAATAATTTAAATGTTGCTGCCTATTTAATCTTCCCATAAAATTTCATGAAGCTTACCATTAAAATTAAATGATTTGTCAGAAACAGGCAAATGTGGAACTCCTACTGAGATAAAGATGCAGAAATGTAAATGCTTATTAGGTTATGCAAATTGTATATCCTGTCCTCCTCCAGGTCTTTCTAAACACAGAAACAGAAAATTTCAGTTCTGGGTTTTTTCCAGATTAATCTAGAGGTGTTCTTCCTTAGAATTCAGTGAACCTGGGATTGCTGGACCCCTTTTGAGCATCTTCCTATACCACCAGAGTAATAGCCTGGGATATGAAGGCACTATAGGTAGCAAGTCAGATGACTTTCTTAGATGCAGAATCACACAGGATATTTTTGTCAGAGAGCTTTCCAATGAGGGTCAGCAAATTGCATAACTAAATTAGATGGCAATGAGCACAGATAAATTTCATTTAAAGTCAACCAGATATTCTTTTGTACACGTCTTCCTTTCATTCATACAGAGTGTGTTAATAATTCTTAGTTTCCACAGCTTGTTCTGAGTGATCTATTTCCTCTTTCGTCAGCAACTGTCCTCTGAGGGACTTAATTTAATCCTGCTATCATTCTGTTGGTAATGGCAAAAGTCAGTCTTGCTGAATTTTGAGAGAGTATGATAAAAGCTTTTAAAATGTTTTGAAAAATTAGGTAAATATTTATTAAACTAAAATATTACTTTACTGCTGATAGGCTGTGTTCAGTAACTTCTTTAGTAAAGACACAAAACAGCTGAAATGACAAGCGTCTTGCAAATGTTTTTTGCCAGAATGTAAAACATTTGACTTTCAGGTTGCATGTCTTCAAGACATGGTAAAATATCAATTTCCCAAGGCAGTGAATGTTTTGGATGTTTTTAATATGCTGAAACAAATATAAACCAGAAGTTAGCAATCAGCAGCCCTACCGGCTAAATCTGGCACATGAGAAAAATTGGCCCAGTAGAGAGTATTTGAAGTGGACCATGAAATTAATTAGGTGCTAGAGAAATTCACAATCAGTTTGCCTTCTGCTGCACTTCCCCATCCTACTCCCTCCCCTCTCCCCTGCCCTCCCTGGCTCTCCTATGACCTGATTGCACACGAGATCAAGACAGAGGATTTCCTCTGCTTGTGTCATATGCTGACCATTTGTCCCCTAACGGAGAGTACGGAGGTATAATTTTCAAGTGCTGATAACAATGCCTCCAGCTGAAGAATGAACATCGCCAGTGTAAAGCTTTTCATTTTTCCTCCTTTTGCTTCTTCAGCCCCCCATTCTGCGGCAGCACAAGGAAGGGCTGTGGAACTGTTTGACATTCTGACTTGGGAAGCTGAATTCAGGAACACCATTTAGATTACTTTGGAGTTTTAAATAGATTCAGGATGTTTAGGTTTTTAGGCCGACAGTTAGAAAAGCCAATAAATTGAAGAGGTTTTTTATAACTTTGTACTTCCAAAAACCTTTTTGTAGCCACATTTTCAGAACTACTGAGTCAGTGTTAGGGTTAAGCCAGTGGATAGTCCATAGGCTTTGGAAAACTGCATAACTGATTTTTAGATTAAAGCAAACCTTACCTTTTGGTTAAAGGACTTTACTCTACAATGCCTGCTTGAATTGCTTGGTTTATAGCGCTCATATTCTGAAACGTGACTAACAAGTTTCAGAGTAGCTTTCTGCTGCAAACAGTTCTAAATTCCTGTAAGGCATTTTTATAATGCTGTGTTTCGGTTTAACCACAGAGAAAGTGCAGCAGCATATTTTATAACAGAGTGACTGACCAAATGTACTTATTTAGCCTAGGCTAACAAATAGCGCTGTTGCAGTACTTCCTGAACACTTGTGTGCTTTCTGAGCTCTGTGGTAACAGTGTAAGGTGATGAACGTAGAAGCAATGCTTTTGCATTGCACAGAAAGCAGGCACGTTAAGTCTACATCAGTGTTTCTAGCTTGTTTTCTCAAACTGCAAGGCACAAATTTCATATGGCATTTTTATAAATGGATTTTGATATTTTGTCTCAGGATTGCTGTATGTAAATTGAAATTTTCATTCTTTTTTATCTTGTTAGAATCTATATTGTCATATCAAATAAGAAAATTTTAACAGTATGAGATCTTGAATTTCAAATTTGAAAGTAATAATAATGGGAAAAAAGCTAAATCTGATAGTCTTTCAGAGTGGGATCAAACAGCAAATGTATGGCCAAGTTGCAAGATCCCTGTTCCCAGCATACATGGGACTAGATAAACTCACAAGTTCGTGAGTGGTTAGTAGTTTCATGGGATTTAGATTCCATGAAATATGGGCAATATAAGCCCCTATCTTAAAAATGATCCATCTCATCGACATGAGGAAGAAAAAAAATTACTGTTATTATGCAAAAATTACCACTGATTTTGTAAATATTTGCAAAGGGTCTTTTTAAGTATGAGTGCTTGCGGAAAAAAAAATTACATTCACCTTATAATTTACTGTTATTAATTCCTTATCTAGTATTACAGGTATAACTGACTATCAGTTTTGAGATCATGAGTTTGAGTGTTTCCAATGCTCCGTTATTATCTTCATGATTTTTCAGCTATTTAATCTTTTTTCCGGTATGTTTAAATAAAAAAACTTTTAAGTATATACAGTCACTGTTAATTAAAATCAATAATAAAGTGGTTATATTTCAATGGGTCTCATAATGGTTCTCACTGAAACTTTTGTAAAAAAAATTGATTTCAATATAATATTGCTAAATTCTAGTTAGTAAATATAAGTATATTAATTAATATGATGTTACGCTTCATCTGCAGTATATTGAAATAGTTTTTCAGTTCACCTCTTATGATATTCTTACTTGAAATAATTTTTTG